CAGAATATGATGTTTTCTTCGTCAGCAGGAACTTCAGACACCCAGAGCGTCACCTCGTCACTTGGTGTAACCACTCTTCGGCACAGATGTGGAGTTAGATTGATCATATAGCTACTGGCTATAGATGGAGAGGATGTGTGAAAGACTGTCGTTCGTATTGGTCTACCTGCTTGGACTGCAATCACGCACGGTTATGTGCCATGTTGTCTATGCCATTTGATGACCGCAAAAAGATGAGATGCAAACAATTGGACGTTGCAAGCTTTTGGACCCGGCCATGCTAGCCGATTACCAAAACGAGTTGGCCGCAAGACTAACTACTTCCCCAAGTAGTTCTTTTGAGAGTGCACTCTGGTTACTGTCCACAGGACCGCCCAAAGAAGCGGAGATCCGAAAGAAACTCCAAGCCCCACAACGCCACAAAAGCAGCCGGATCAGACGGCCTGCCACCTGCCATCTTCAGAGATAGTGGACAAGCTCTCTCAAGAGAGCTGTTCTCGAAGATCTGGGAAACCGAAAGTATACCCCACACATGGGGAGAACCGATTGTTACACCCGTCTACAAGAGGGGCTGTCGCAACGCCTGTTCCAAACACAGGGGCATAAGTTAGATTCCAATAGAGCAGAAGCTACTAGCGTCCGTATCATTACGTAGACTAAGCCCATTTAGTGGAAGGCAAATCCTCGACGCGTAGGCCGGGTTTCGTGCACGCCGTGGATGCACAGATCAAATCTTCACCTTCCTTCAGATACTAGAACACCGCCACGCATACAGACGGCAAACTATTGTCGTGTTTTGGACATCAAAGCGGTCTTAGACTCTATCGATACACTATTTACAGACATCGATCCGAGATGGAAGAAACAGCAAGGTGGGCAGGCTATGAAGTGGGTTGAGGAGATCGTGCTCGGATCTGACTTCCGTTGGGGCCTCCCAACTCCCCGGTTGGAGCCCCAAAGATTCAGACAGTCTTTGGCTGGTTACACTGCGGGATACGGTATCGAACCGAAATCAGTGGGGCGAATGCATCCTTTCCTGTGTGCGATCCCAAAAATAAACAAAAAAGCTCAAAATGGCGTGCAGTAAACAAACAAATTGTTATCCCCCAAGTTGACTGTGGTTTTGCTCCTCCCCTCCTGCTCCTATATTTTGCGTTAAACTCATGGATATTTGGGCGCCGTATCGGTACATAGAAATATATATATACATATATATATATAAAGCTCCGCACTAACACTGAGATGCTCCCATGAAGCTCTTTAAGATGAGTTGTGCTGTATTGTGTGAAGATCATGAAAAGCGGTCTGATCAGCTGCCCAGTGGTCGAGTGGGTAGTATGCTTGCGCTCTACCTGTACGGTCCCGGGTTCGCTTCCCTGTTGGGTTAGTGGATTTGCACTGCTGATGCGACCGAACCAGGGCAAAACACCTGTTCAGCGATTCGTGCCTTTTCAGATCACGTATCATTTACACGATGAATACACTAGGTAATCCACCTGGTGGCATTCGTAACACACGACCCTGTCAACGTCATCTGCAGAGTGTCAGCACCTATTCCGGTATGCGACTGCGATTGCATAAAACTCTTCCCCAGCCTTCGTCATTGCTTCCCATTAAGGGGTGAGGCTAAGAGCCTACCCAGTCCTCTGACGGTGAGGCACGCGTGCTGAACGCAGCAGCAGTAGCATTCAGACTAGCCAGAAAATCTTGCAACTCATCGGGATCTTCACTTAGCAATACAATGTCGTCTGTATGCTCCACATTAGATAACTTGTCACTTGGTAGTATATAGACACCGTTATCCGTGCATGAGGAAAGAACCGTTTCCATAATCATATTCAGTAAAAATTTAAATGCAAAAGGACTGAGAGAGAGAGAAAGCAACCCCGAGGAATATTGCTTTCCCCTTTCGTGAAATTAGGGAAAAGAGAGCTGTAAGTTTGAACTAGGGTTCGGCTATTGGTATAAAGGAATGATATTGGAATAAATTTGTGTTATGCATCAATTAATGAAAAGTAGTAACTAGTGCGATTGAGCAGGTTGAAGACTGCCTTCGGATCAAGAAAAAGTGACATGAAAATGAAACTGGAGCAGATATGTGATCCAAAGTTTTGAACATTAAAATCCTCGCCTAACTGCAATTAGCCGCATACATCATGTTTGATTTGGCATGACTGTGAAATACAGAAGACGACCTTGTTTGAGACTTTGATTTCTCATCATGTGTTGTTTCGTGAAACTGTATAGACGGAATAGAAATCATGGGAAAAAAAGAAAAAGAAAAAAAAAGACTATTGCAGAATTTACCGAAGGCTGAGAGTGTATGATTCATGCCTATTCGACCAGGTAACAAACCAGCGCGGTTCTCACGGATGAACCGCACGCGTACGGCAAACAATCAACGAAGTATGATGCCAGCTAGGAGCTTTGAGATATTCAGCAAGCATGCTCTGTTGAGATTCTCACAAGACTATCTACCTTGTTTCTTTTCGATCGACCAGAGAACCGAATCACATCATTCTTGTTTCCTAAAACCATATGAAAACCAGCATTTCTGTCCACTCCAAAGCAAAGACAGCCTCTACGTTTTAAGCTGGATGGAGACGACCCTTGGATACCACAGATTTTGTACCTCTCGGAGCAACTTACGACCCGAACGAAATCCGCGGTTATTTATGGAACTTTAAACTGCTTCCTTGATGAGTTTACGATGTTCATTGAGATACTCATGGAGTGATTGAACTGAGGGGCGATGAGAGGGATCCGCCCCTGAAGCCGATTGGTACCACTGCCTACGTTGTACTATGGCAATCCATTACCAGTGACTTCGTTGCGACTGGGTTTCAGCTCTTCGTTTGTAACAGAGCATCAGCCTTTTCCAGGTAGGAGTGACAGCCCTGTACTGGTTCTCACTAGAGCTGAACAATGGCAACGTGATCGATTTGAATCGCTCGATGAGAAGCGTGAGCACGCGTTCATGTTAGGCGATGTTGTTTNGTGACAGGATAAAATAGTAAGTAGTAGCGTAGCCATCGAAACGCATTGAGGTCAACCTGTCTAATGCTGCGCGTTAATTGATGCACGATGGTCATTCAGTGAAATAGTCCAGTTAGTCGAACGGGAACATCTACAGCCTGGCAATCTGGCAAACAATTCTCCTATTGCTCCGGGAACGGTTTGAAGGATCTTCAACCAACCAACCTTTCGAGTTCTCGGAGTTGTTCATCGGTTTTCCACTATCGACTAAAGAAACATTTATCTACTCCTCATCGCAACCAACTATTTGCCTCCTCAGCACATCATCATCATTCCTCATTGTACAGCACAATACAGTGAAGCGAACTTCAATGATCGCCGCCAAAAATCATATTGCATACAAGGAAAGTGATAATATGTAAGGAGGATAGAGATTGGAACTATTTTTAGGGTCGGGAAAAGAAGGTGAACCTCTATGGTCAACACACAGAGTAAACACTTCAACTGTGCATACATACTATTTCAAGCATTCTGGTCTGACAAAAAGTGACAACATGATCGCCATTACTGTCGGTTAGCAGCCATGACCTTCAGTGTCTCCAACCATGCGGTTACGAACCCAACCCGGAAGACGAGAGACACCTACTCTACCTAATCGCTCTGTGCATTTCGTCATGCTTCGTCTCCGCTCCATCTGTTGGTCGTCACGTGACGTTCTCCAGTCTGCAATAGCCACTGCAAATAAGGCGCAAACAGAACTTTTCAACTTCAGTGAAACGTCACGTCGTCACCACAGGTATTTTAGTCCTGCGTATGCTGTTCGAGCCTCGGAAATGCGGGCAGTTATCTCCTTTTATGCGCTACCGTCGTTGGTCAAGCAACTACCCAAGTACGGGAAGCAGTCAACTTCAGATAATTCCTGATCGTCCAGTTTCGGAACAGAACTCGGTGACATCCAGTCTTGTAGCATTACTTTGCACTTCGAAGGTGCAAGGCACATGCCGAAAGGAGCAACAGAACTTGCTGATCTGTCAAGTGCCCTTTGCGCATCCTCCATAGATTCGAACAAGTAGACGATGTCGTCAGCGTACTTCAAGTCGCACAGCTTTTCTCCAGCTGCCCATTCAATACCTACAAAGAAATCGTTGTTTGGCAAGGGATGAAGTAGTTGATCTCGATTACGTGCTTGGTCGGATGGGATTGCACGTGGTGCATTTCTGATTCATCCGAGGATTTCACTTGAACATTGAAGTCTCCAGTGAGTCTGTCGACCGAACACTTTGGAGCAGTTGAGAAAAGTCATTGTGAAATACATCCTTTATTTTGAGCGCACTGCCATCGGTCGGTTTATAAATGGACACAAGAAACAGGCACCGACACTTCGTCCGTAGCTATTGACCGGTACTGAACCGTAGAGACGTACAGCGCACAGTTGGTTATTGACTAGAAACCTATGAAGAACTCAACGTTTAGCCTTGACCCTAACCAAAATGCCGACGCCAACAGCACCGCGAGCTCTAAACGCCAAATCATTTGATATACGGAAGGCGGTTGGTTCAGAGGGGAACGCATGGCGATAATTGACCTCGTGTTCTGCATGCGTAATTTGGAGACAGCAGTTACACTGAAAGGTTTCAAAACAGCTTGATGGCTGATCCAATTTTATACCGAAAATGAATGCGGTCGAGTTTTCATGGGATCAGTGGATTCTGATTGCGCTTAATTTGCTAGTCGAACTCTGAGTGATATACTCCGGGGGACAGAGACACGGGGCGTTACGCATGATTTGAAAATAGGCGGAGTACCTGAACAGATGGAAAACAGAGTTGTCCAACTGGGTACTTGACACTTTATGGGACAACACACTTCCTGGTATCCCACACTGACAAAGTGGTTTTCTCCGGAATAAATCAGGGAAATGTAAAACAAAACACGCAGTCTATGAACCGCCGTGTTTTGATCGGTAAGCGGTTGTTTTCTTTCATCCCAATTCGGACATTGTGGAATGAATAGTACAAAAAGGATCACTGGACGAACCATTGTGTTTTCAAAATGAAATGCACTGACTTACTCAAAATATCCGTCTCATCCACGATTTCTGCCTGAATAATTTCTTCGATCACATCTTCCAGAGTGACTAGGCCAATCATTTCCCGATATGGATCACCTTCCCCCTCTGTCACCAAACGTTCCACAAACGCCATATGGGCACGACCTAATTCACAACAAGAACGGAGGGATGGACAGGAGACGATAGCTCCGTTAGGAATCATACAGTAGATGTAAAACATGAAAATGTACACTGAAAAGTATTTTCACTAATACTCCTTAAACGATTAAATGCCATCAAATGTAATGCATTTTGCCTCATTCCAGCCAGCCCATCAAAGAATTCATCTAGCAAGAATAATTTATTAACAGCACAATCGGAGTGCGCAACATGCCAACGCCTTCGGATAGCAATGCATCAGGCTGTATTTGGGCGTTATACGATACGCTGATTTAAAGTCCCGACATCGAAATTGCCGATTGGTTCTTGATACAGGCTCTACCACGAGAGTTAGCGTGGTCTCACTAAACGGTCTTGCTCAGTCATTATCATAATCATTAATGGGAAGCTGGGTGGCAAAATGTATTCTGTGCTTCACTAGCTAAAATTCCTCTCACTCCAAGCGATGCCACCGACAGCTACCGGGAAGCTTCCTAATCCCCTCAGTTCTGTTCATTATTTTTTTAATAATACTACGGTCTACGTTCTTTATCTCACTAGTCCTTACTTACATGCTCCATTGCCGTTACTCCACCGCGTACGGGCCTCTGTTACCCCCCACTTTGGATAAGAAAAACGTATTGCACTTTAATACTTTCATCGTCTATCCATCCCTATTTTTCTATTTCGTACACAAAGCCCGTTTGATCAGTTGCATATTATCCGCAGTTCGCATGGGAATCCGATTTTCATCTTAATTGGAGTATTCTTATCACATCTCTGAACCGGGTACCCTTGCCTCTAGAAAGATTTATTGTCCCTCGAGGCGATTCACCATTACTCACTAACTGTTTACTACTTGAAAGGTTCAAATACATTCCACTGTGAACTACTATTGCATGTCTGAGGCAAGGAGTTCTGTCCCCACCCCACTCTGACCCTACTCACTCCAAACAAGACCATGTTCAAGGTAAACAGATTTTCATCATCAATTACTCCCCGCTAATCGCCATTTATGAACCACATTTCCACCATCATACACTTTATTCTCAACCTGTTCCATTGTTTCTATCACAGATTCCTCCTTTGCAACCTTACCACTCACGCGAGTTCCAAGATGAGTTTTCTGTTATCCGTTGTTCGCTCCGGAAGTCGGCGAAACTTCGCAATTACCCCCGAAATCAGATAAACTATGAAATACCCTTTACTGATCGATGTTTACTTTTCTAAATTTGTCATAATTTCAACGGATGAACGACGTTACCCAATCAGCGCTAATTCGTATCACCATTAGGGTTTCCTGACCAAACTGTCATCATGAACGCAGGGAGAACAAGGCAAACGTATAAATAAATCAAAGATACGGATATCAAATGTCCGCGAAGAGAAAGAACGTGACAGGATAAAA